TTTCCCTTTCCCTCTCGCGTTCCTTCTCTCTCTGACTCTCTCTCTCCCTCTCCACAATAGCTGCAGTGGCACTGTGATGGGCAGGATGTCCTGTGGGGAGTGAAGAACAGGAAACACACAAAAACAAAAAGTGGGGTTACAACCAAAAAGGTCCTTTACACTTGCTGCACTTTGACAGGGCCAGCTGTGTTGCTGTTAGGAATAGCAGAAAGAGTCATGATAACAGTGATGTGAAATTATTGCACAGTAGGGCTGTGCAATTAATCGCATGCAATTGTCAAGTGCATCTCGTCAGTAAAGCCGGTTCCATGATTAGTAGTAAATCTCCATCACCTGCTTTCAAATGGAGCAGCATTTACTACACAGAGCCGTAGTTCACTGACAAGCTAGGCAATATCGCGTTCATAATCGCAGATGAATCGCATTCGATTATGAACGCGATACTGCCTAATAATTGTCAGTGAACTACGGCTCTGTGTAGTAAATGCTGCTCCATTTGAAAGCAGGTGATGGAGATTTACTACTAATCATGGAACCGGCTTTACTGACGAGATGTGCATGACAATCGCATACGATTAATTGCACAGCCCTATTGCACAGATATACAAATGTATATGAATAAACAAGGCATTAATCCATTAACCAAGGCATTCTCTTTAATACATGTTAGCATGTATTATTACCCCTTTTCCACTGAAATGGTGCTGGTTCCCGTGGGTGTGGGGAATTGCAAAGCTCTCCAAGACAAACAATGACGTAACTAACTATATAAGTACAAAAGCTGCCCACAAACAAACATGCCTAACCTTTGTCTTTGTTTATAAGTATTACAAGAACATCAGTGTATTCACAAGTTATTTTCAGTGTTTTATGCAATCACAATCTGCTTTTGTTGCAACAGTCAGAGGTTACAACAAATAAAATTCTAACCAATCAACAACATATAATGGGATGTCTATGAACTGTGCATCACTGCATCAGGTATTTCATTGGTTAGAATCAAGCCAACTAGTTTCGTTGCATGCCAGCTTTGCCAGATGGAGAAACCTGAATTGAAAAACTAAGGTGCATTCCATTCAGAAGTTTGGTTCCACTTTAAAACTTTTTTATACAACATTTATGAAATAAATTGTTTGTGTGAAGAGTCATTTAAATGGTGAACACTCAGAAGAGACTATGACTACTCATAATAGACTACTATGTTTTAATTACATGTAAAAAAGGTTGCGCCTCAATGTACTTTACCATGTTAAAATATGTTTCATTAAACGTTAAAAGAATCCTCATGCTTATTGGCTGCTACCTCTAAAGGAGCGTAACTTTGTTTGGTGAAGTAAAGAGCAAAAATGAACAATGGACTATGTAGACGCTTATTACTATGCTTTACCAGCGGACACAATGGAAAGCCAAAAAGACTGACAAAGAGGTACAAAACGGGTACAAAGCAAAATATCAAATTAAACGAATTATTCTTAAAAGACAACAGGTATTTGTATGTATTGTATGCACTCATGTACAAGATTCAAACTGTATGTAAAGACAGCACATAGAATGATGCTAAAAAGATCAGCACAGAACTGGTGTTGTAGTATAACACCGACACAGGAGCCATGAAACAATTCTAAAAGCATATTCACACAGAGAGCAAATATATCTAGCAATATTTTTTTGCGATTCACTTGACGTCATAATTCCCCTCGTTTGAATAGATGTTTAGACAGTCAAGGTCTACTCATCTTCAGACCACCTGCGCTCCCAAGACAAACTTTAAATATGACACTACTGAGCCAAGGCCAATGTTTGCCTTCACCTCAATATGATGTTTGAGATTCACAAATAAGGCAGCTTCTCAGGGGAGGGCAACAGAGAGGGCTAGGAAAGTACTTGCAGAAAATGGGGGTTTTGGCACTTCAGTTGCTTTTTAAATTCTGACTAATATCCTACATGTACATACATCTTAAGCTACAATCTCATGCAGACAGAGATTGATACCAGCAGCTCTCTTCATTCTTTGTAACTGCTAATATGCTCAATCGAATCCCTTAAAACTAATCCCTTATGTGTCACCACACACAGAATTCAGCAGGAAGCCTGCCAAGTCCATAAACTGATCTGAACAGACGGTGCATCTTCTTGATTGATTCATTAAAATAATTATTTGTTTGTGAATTTGACTAAACTAGTGCCGCATGTTCGGTTTCGCTAGTAGCCAGTGAAAACAAAGAATATAAATTTGAGCTCTTCAGAGTCACACGAGACACGAACAAGTTTGGGTCCAACACATTGATGAGTGCCTCAGCCATGGTTTGTGTGTGATATTAGTAACCTTGGGTTCCAGGTAAATGAATGTCCTGGAGATTAATATTAACTAGGGATGTAACGATTAACTGCGAGCCGGTTGAAAATCGATTCAAATATGTGACGATTCAAATCGGTTGAGATGCTAAACAAATCGCGATTCATTTAGGGGTAGGAGTTTATATGAATGCATGTCTGAGGGGAACTTACTGTCTTTAGAAAAGTTTAGATGGTATTTTTTCTTTTCCTCTTGCCTCTGTATAATGCATTTTAAAGTTCGTAAGTTCAGCGCTGCTGGAATTGAATCGAATCGTGAGTTGAGTGAATCGTTACATCCCTAATATTAACATAAATGTCCTTGTCATTTGATGTGTGATTGATAAATTTGAAAGTTTACGAGTGGTTTATTTTTTTGGATTTGTGGAAAAACAATGCACTTTTGTCTAAATAAAGCAACCAAAATTAAATCGTAACTGTACATTTTTGTGTTTTTTCTTACACAAAGTATTACAAAGGCTACATTATTTGGCAACATGGGTTCAAATCAATTAAACAAGTAAACGTTGCGAAGAAGGATTGGAGAAAGAATTTCATCTACAAATAAGGGAAGATGATGGGCCTACTTTTAAACCTACACATGCTGTGGAGTTTCTAATTTGTCGTTTCTTATTTTGGTCTTGGGACATTGCTGATTTTTGCATTCGGCTCCCAAAAAAAAAAAAAAAGACCACCGGGTCAGTCGGACTCGGGTTAGTCTGTGTCAAGTCAGGTGTTTCTTTTTAAAACAATAAATGATGCACGTCTGGTTCGGGTAGGAAGTGATTTGGGTCAGGTACAGGTTTTAGGACCAAAGAAGACCTAGAATTGTTGTTTTTTGTATTATTACACAATAAATCGCCACAATCAATTCAGACTAGCTCATAAATCAGGTGAAATGTATTTCCTTTTGCCACGATGCTGTAGATTTAGTAGCAGCGCATTGCCATCATAGTGGTGCAGAAAAGAGTTGTAGTTAATTTTAGGTGGAAGAAAGAGTCTCGATTAAAACAGCAAAACTGATCTCAGAGCAGCAGCAAAGGGCGAGTTTCTAAAGCACCACCACCAGGACTGGAAGGGGAAGTTCAGGTGTTGGATAGGAGAGGAGGGGTGGGATCCTCACCTGGAGATATGGAGGCAGGGTTGAATGCCCTAGGAGGGAAAGGGGTCTGAGGTCCAGGGATGTAGGTGATGCGTTCCAGGGAGGGGGAAACTGTCCCCCCAGGGTGAGGTAACAGGATGGTAGGTGGCATCTGGGCTAGATCAATTATTCCTTTTACAGACAGAAGCAAAGGGCCAGAGGGTGAGCATCCACAACCAATCAGCTTCAACTTTAAAGAGCCAACACCCTCTACTGATCTTTTAAAAACATCTAATGACTAGAAGAGGTATTGAAAAATTTGAAGTAGCTCATTAACAACATCAAGAGCTCAATTACTAAAAATAACAAGATACCAGGGCTGAAAGCTGGTTTCCACTAAGCAATGGTTTTCACTAAGTAAAGCAAAATCAGAACTAGAAAAATGGTGCAATGTGGACTGGAGATGTAGACAGCAGGACCTTCTAAAGGTCTGAGCTCAAACTCCTTCAGATTGAAACTGTAGTATTACTAGGATTTTTTTTTAACCCAGGTCAACTTTTAACAGGTAACCTTGTTCCTGTAGATGTTATTGAACATACATAACCACAAAAATAAAAAAAAACAATTGTGGGCCTCTTAACAGATGGGTCTAGTGGATGTCTAGGGAATAGCCCCAGCCCTGGATTTAACAATTGTTTTGAACTCAAATTTCACGTGCAATTAGAATTTGCGTGAGGGTCATTTGCTTCTGATGGTCTGGAAAAGGTTGCCACTAGTTCACACAAACACAATATTTACGGACTACACTTTCGATACTTTGCTTCACTTTCACAAACAAACATACACATTCAGACAATCATGCCCCTTACCTCTAGCTGGTGGGTATGGGATGGCAATGGACGGTTCCCGTGGTGACAGTCCCCTCGTGATATCAGGGCGCATCTGCTGCGAGGTGATGTAATCGTTCAGAATGGTCTGCCGAGTGTTTTCCATGGTGTACAGCTGGTATGTGTTGGGGTAACCGGTCGGCGACGGTTGCCGTGGGAACATGTACGCTGTTGAGATGTACAGAGGACAACAAGGATGAGGTGAAAAGACCGCTGTTCTTGTCTTGACGTCAATGGTGCGGATTTGCCACAGTAGTGGAGAGTTGAGCAGGAAATGCTATTATCTAATGCATGAGAGTAGGTTGAAAAACCAAAACATGATGTTTATCAATGAGATAGGAATAGTGCTTTTAAGAGAGGACCATTACTCAGAACATCAATCAATTTTGTGTGTGACGCATGAACTGTTTTCCCTGCAAGCCTGTTTGTAGGAAGCATGGTTTCAGAACAGAACTAATTCATTATTCACAAATTTTCCATTCCTTGGCAAAGCGTAGCCCACTACCCATGTGCTCTGAGCCCTATTAAGTAATGTATCAATGGGTCAGATTTACAAAACAACTACTGTTTTTTATTCTTTTCTAATATAGTTAAAAAAACAGACAATGTTCTGTATAGAGACTTTAAACAGAGACTGTTCTATAAGATAATTTTTTTAAATCAGCAAGAAATATAAATTTATCCTAGCTATTTTGTAAATGCATCTTACTGATCTTATTGTGAATGATTCATCCACAAGTTAAATTTTTTACAGGTTCATGTAAACAATGCATGCGCATGGCGCTCCTGCTTACGTAACGCACATGCGTAAGCACGCGCATGTGTTGTTTTCATGAACCGGAAGCCAGCACATGCATTGTGATACTCTCTCTACAATGGCGGCTCACGCTGCAGACGGGATGAGGAGGAGAAGTATTGTTGAGTAAAGTCGTTATTTTTGGTTTCTTTGCGCACAAAAAGTATTCTCGTAGCTTCGTAAAATTACGGTTGAACCGCTGATATCACATGGAATATTTTACCAATGTCCTTGCTACGTTTCTGGACCTGGGAACATTGCAGTTGTGTTGCTGTCTATGAGGGGTCCGAGAGCGCTTGGATTTAATAAAAAATATCTTAATTTGTGTTCCGAAGATGAACGAAGGTCTTACGGGTTTGGAACGACATGAGGGTGAGTAATTAATGACAGAATACAAAATTTTGGGTGAACCAACCCTTTAATGCTGCTCGCAGAAAAAAAAAAGAAAAGGAGAAAAGTTCTTAAAAAGCTTTGAAGCATCTTAAAAATAGTGCCACATTTGTCTTAAATCCCAAAAGGTAAGATGTTTAATGAATTTTGTGTTATTTCAATATTAAGCATTACAATATATATTACTACTACAATTTTTACTAAATGTAAAATACTTTTTCTTTTTTAAAGAACTACACTATTATCCAAAGAACTTTATTTGTTCTTAAGAAGATTTTCATGAATCTGGCCCCTGAAAAGATTCCATAATGCCTTAAATTACCTGGGTCGAGGACTCTGTGGTGAAAAGCGAGGCTGGGGTCCAAGTGTGGTGGTAGGTGAGTCCGGTACATCTCTCCAGGTGCCACAGGTCTATGGTGGGGGTCAAACGGGCTGTGAGAAGCAAGAGGTTCACCCCCGGACACAGGTGACTTGGCAGGCACACTGTCCCTCTGGGTGGGAGTCAGTGTGTTATTCCTCTCATGAGAAGCTGGTTTACCTGTTGTTATACTTCCTGTTTGAGAAAAAAAAATCAGTTCAATGACCTCTGCAATTGACTGCTAGATGTAAGCTAAGGATCGGTGTTTAATTGTTATAAAAACAACTGTCTGGGGATGATTGAAAGATTAAACGAGAGATGCCGCATTCATACCGTCTTGCCCTCGCAGCAGAGGTGAACCTCTGGATATGGAGGTGCCGGTGTATGTAGGGGTTCTGCGTGCATTGCTGTCCTCATACATGCCTGGACTAAGCTGAGATTTTCCCGCTTCTGTGTGTGTGGAGCGAAGGACAGATGTGGAGTTCACTACAGAGGTGTGCCGGACGCGTTCGGACGTCTTCGCATCCTCGTACTTGGCCCTCTCGCGCTCAGCTGCCTCAATGACAGAGTGTGAGATCTTCACTGGGCTTGTGATCAGAGATTTAACATTGTGCTTGATGGCTGACGGGTTCACAGTACTGCTCTCGTACTTCAGAGGAATACCCTGCAGAGATGCACATTAAGAAAATTAGGAGAACGATAAACTGTTGTTTTAAGGCATCTTTCATTTGACTGATCTGAATGTGATTTGTGAATGTTCTTCATAAATACATTTCAGTGTGGGAAACTCTAACAACCTCAAATCAAGTACCTGAGTAATGGATCCTTCCAGAACAGGAGTTTTACGACTGTCTTGAGTCTCATTACGGGGAATCTCGTGAATTGAGCGGCCCATCTCCTTTATGGTGTTCACCCCCTCATACGGTTTACCCTTTGTGATGCCTCCCTCAAAAGAGCGTATGGGTGGACTTTCCCTCTTGATCTGTTTACCGTACTTGGAGGCCTCATCATAGACTTCAGCAGAGGCTCTTGGTGTTCCTGAAACATGGCAGAGAAGATTAAGCATGATGCAGAAATTTCCATACATTTTCTTAAAAATTAGCAATTATTAAAACTAAAGTACCGTATTGGCCCGAATATAAGACGATGTTTTTTTCTTGGAAATACATCTGAAGAAACGCGGTCGTCTTATATTCAGGGTCTAGATTTTGACATGTCAATAATACACCCACAACAATAGGTGGCGCCAAATACGCATAAAATGAGTGTGCCATGAAATACGTAATGTAATGTGTGTTGTAAAGATCTTGAGTAAAAACCAAAACAAAAGAAAAAGAAAACCTTACAGCTGCATGATTCGTGACTGTCACGTTAGCCTGATGGGACCAAACTCCCTTTGTGATTTTAAAACGTAAGACAGTACCCAGATTTGAAGACTACAGTAAGATTTAACTTCTAATGTTAATAAGATTTTGGTAGGCTACTATTAGATGGATAGCCTAAATGTCCTAATTCAGATGGGCTACCTGTTTTTTTTTTTTATGGTATATCAAAAAGTGTATATTTTTTAAATGTGATTGTTGGTACATTTTACCAGTTTTTACCATACTTTCAAAACAAAAATTAAAATAGGAAAAATATGCAATATTAAAATAATTAAAGACAAAATGTGTTTTACTGAGAAAAAACAAGATTTGGTTTTTAAAAAGCCTTTTTCCAAAAGGTACATCTGGAAAAGGGGGGGTCGTCTTATAATCAGGGTCGTCTTATATTTGGGCCAATACGGTAGTATTTATAGTTTTCTTCTCCTGTGGCTCTTTTAGCTGTCAGAAATATTTTGTATTGTATTATTTGAAATGATTTGCAATCCTTTATACTAATACATACTAATCAACTAGAGTTGAGAACAACTAGTCTTTATATATTTTTATAAAATAATTACATATTTTCAGAATGGAAGTAAGGAAGTGTGGTGGAAGCATCAGCATTACCTTGCATGATGGATCCTGTGAGTATGGCTCGATCCTTAGGCTCGTGAGGACTTTCTCTTGGCAATGCTCTGCTGATCAAACCTGACAGAAAAACAGGAAAAATGTCTTTAAAAGGTGCTCTAGTGGCAAACACACTCTCCGCTTTGAATCTTTTGTGCTTTATTCTTCTCAGATAAACAACAAAAACATGACTAACCTTCATAAGGTGCTGTCTCACGTGTTGGGTGTGCACGGGACCCCTCCATGATGTCATATGAGCGCTTGAGATCGTGCCCCATTCGTGGGCTTCTTGTGCCCTCTCTAGGGTTCTTAATGGCTGTTGGAACATAAAGCGAGATATATTATTGTAATAAAATGAACTAAAAACATCAATAGAGCATGTAAAAAAAAAAAAAACTCCTGGTAAGCTCTGGCTATGGCGCTCCATAAAAATAGAAACTGCTCTTGTTGCACTGCTAACAAACATGTCATTTAGCCCTTGAAAAGAAGCACTTCACCATCTGACTCCACTTGTGCCGGGAAATATAGCAGAAACTAATCACACTATAATTTTAGCCTTTTGACAATATAAACTATATAAAACATAAAAAGCATATTAAAATAACTAGTCACAAAAACAACTTAAATATTCAATATCCCTGGGGTATACTGTTCTCACAAGCACACCAGAAAGGAAGCGGTTCTGGCTCTGACCATCAAAAGAGAGGATGTGTCCGCTTTTGCCTTCGTAGATAACATGAGGTTTAGAATGAGCATTAGCTCGGCTCTTCTCTGGGCCACTCAGGTCCTCTGTGGCCAGTTTAGCAATAGTGCCTTTCAACAGATCCGCTGCTACATTGGACTGAGTCAGGGCAGGAGTGCCCTACAAAGACAAAGAGTGAGAGTGAGAAATACTACACAAATATAAATGAAAATTACTCAAATACCACAGTAAGGCCTATAATAAAGATACCTGCGTAATGGAGCCTCCTCTGAAATTCAAGCCCTCTGGGCCTTTTCCAGGTGGCCCTCTCATGTCTGGAATCTGCATGGGTCCTAATGGGAGCAGAGGAGAGGAAGAAAAACATTGTTTGGTTTGTGTTTGAATGGTAAAACTGTTTCCTTTTGTGGATTAATTCTTGATTTTTATGAATTTTATAGTATATTTTAAGTCATCTCACCTCTGACAACTCCCTCATACTGAGCTCTGGATAAGAGACCCTCTGCCTGAGCGCTCTGTCCACGTGGAGAACACTCCTCCTGCTTAATATATGACACTAAACACACACACAAACACAATCAAGTGTTTAGATTATGGACCACATGATGTATTCATCTTCTAAACTTCATAACAAAACTCAGCCACAGAAGCCACGGCTGAGTCTAGTTAAGCTGAGCTTAATTGCGGGATTAAGATATATTTATACTCTCAAATCTCTCTTGCTCACCAGGTTTGGCAGGGTCCTGCTGTCTTGGTAAACCGAGCGAGATCGACCCCCCTGTGGTCTTAACTACCTCCGGTACGTACACAGCATGCATTTGAGAAGGAAGGTACGTTCCTGGCGTTCCCTGCAGGGAAGACACAAATCAGAGTGAAATACCAGGAAAACCCTTGATCCCTGCCTTGATCCCATTACATGTAGGAAGTATTTAAACTTAGCATAAGCACCAAGAGTCTTAAATAACACTCAACAGCATTTCTCTTACCTGTGAAATGGAGCCTCCCTGAATGAAGGAGGGCTTGTCGGTGGGTTTGGAAGTGGGAATGAGGGGCGGAGGAGACGGAATGTTGGGCGGCCTGTGACGGGAAAACGTCATGCGAACATCTGAAAGATTCTGAACCGCCTGGTTTGGTGCCGGTTGAAGAACTGTGGGAATAAAAGGATAAGAGGCACAAGGGATGAAAAGAGGCGGGCAAATAGGATCACTCTTTATCCTTGCATAGTTGACAAAAGTCTTTCCCTCTAAAGCCCAGAGTATACTATGGTTTTCTATGTGTACGCTAGGGAATGCATATAGTGCTAGTGCCATAAATTTCTGTCATCACAGTACATGCACTTAGTACTTTTTTTCCCTATCCCTGCCTGCATACACTGTGCGCTCAGCACCTGTGCCTTGATTTTTTTTGCACTAATTAGTTTGTGCACAAAGCAGCAACACTGGCCCAGCCCAAAGTTTCACAGTAAAAAAAAACAAAAAAACAAAACAAAACAATGGAGACCTCAACAATGATAGACTACATCAGTTTTATATTTTGGGAACAGTTCATTTATAACAGTTCATTCAGGGGAACAGTATATTTATAACAGTTCTATTAGGGGAATCTATTAAGACTTACATTTGTAATATGATGTAGCTGTCACAAGCTGTCAAATGTGGCTTTTTCAAGTTTTAGTGGAAACTGCATACAAAATATTGCTGTGTTTAAAGGGCACTTCAGTGGTACTTTAAGGTGTATTATACTACTAAGTAGTTTTGTTCCTGACTTCTGATTGGTCAGTACATTGTTAAAAAGCATGCAAAAATCCACAACACTATCACAGCTATGACATCAGACACTGTATCACTGCAGATCTCTTATACGGTATTGTTATGTTTGTTGCATAGCAAAAATCTGTTATGTCAGTGGCTGTATCTGGAAGGACACCACTTGATGAATTTTCTTAACAGAATAAAAAAAAACAACCCACTAACACTAATACAAATGTTAAAATCAACAAGTCACTCAAGGCTGTGCTATACTTTGAACTGCATTGAGCATCGTGCCTAACAACGGCCTTTAGTCGTGACTATTCACACTACAGAATGGCGTCTCTTCCCTTATTGCTTGAATGTAGACTCCAAGTCTCACTGGTCAGATTCAATGCTCAGTACTTCTGACCTACTACACACAACCTACCAAACTTCTGCAGGACCTGCAAATGGCCTTTCTCAAAACCGACTAGCTTGTAAAACCTACACGAAAAAAAAAAAAAAAAAATGTTTGTCACCGAAATGGAGAGAGCCTCAAACCTGTGACTAAAGCCTGACAAAGAAACACAGACCTGAGTCTAACCTTTAGCTCTTAGTATGGGAGGAATGAAGTCTTCCTTCACTGCTGCTCACCCGTGACTCACAGCCCTACTAAAAGCACCTCTTCCATTTTCAGACAGCCCAGCCTCTCACTCATCTCTTTTGAAATATTGAGTCGTGAACTCTCGTCTCCTTCAGTGTAAAAAGCCTAGAGTGTAGAGATGAGATCAGGTGGTCTCTGCGGTTCTTTAGTGCAAAGTGTGATGTTCTCTTAATGTAATCGCTTATCTGTTGTTATGTGTTTCCGGATGATTCTTATGCACAAATAAAAACAATACAGGTCTGACAGTACAGACGTCAGTATAGTTACATTGTTCAAGTATGGTTCAACCTCTCATTCAGAGATGCTATAATGTCTGTATAAAGGCTGGCCACGTGATTTACTGGGGAATACAGAGGAGAAGTGAAAGATTACTCCTGCTATGCTTTGTCATATTCATTCAAGGTTTTAGTGAATACCAGTGACCTTTTACTATTCTCAAAACCAATTTAATATCACTGCAAAAACAAAAGTTTGGGGTCAGAAAAGAAAAAGAAATTAATAATTTTATTAAACAAGGATTCATTAAATTGATTAAAAGTGACCGTAAAGACATTTAAAATGTTATAAAAAAATTCTCTTTCAAATAAATACTGTTCTTTTGAACTTTCATCAAATAATCCTGAAAAAACATCATGGTTTCCACAAAAATATACAGCAGGACAACATTTGCATTTTTCTGCATTCTTCATAACCTAAACGTGAGTAGGGCTATCACGATTATAAAATCCTGAATGCATTTTGCACGTGTTAAGTGTTCCACAGACGAGAATCCATGAAAAGCATTATTAGACCACTTTCTAAGGCTGCACAAAGATTAAAACCATTTAAAAATCATCGTAAAGCATAGTGCTATTGTGAATTCACAAAGGCTGTGATTCAAATAAATAAATATATGCGCTGCGGGTTTAATATGCGCTTTATTTATATGCGTGTAGGTTACATGCATTGTCCTCACTAATACGTTTTTGTTTGAAAAACGTCTCCGTTTTGGCCTTCTGTCCACACTGAGATGCTGTTTTTGTCAAGGAAAATGGAGCTTTTTGAAAACCCTCTACAAACTGGATAAATCTGAAACAGCCGTTTTTGCGTTGGAGTGTGGACTGTGAAAACGGAGGCTTTTGAATATGATGATGCATGTTTAGTCATATTGTACCAATAGATATCTGTTTATACTGGTATTGTGGCTGTTATTTGCTATTACCTTTCACACTGTTGCTAAAGATATGTTACTTTGTACACTCTTCATATAACAGTCCTGCAAAGATGACAGAAAATTTACTCAGAGTTGCTGTCCTGCGGCAAAACATGTGGGCAGTTGCGTTTTAGATCAAACATATAATGGGGAGTGAGTGCGACCTGGACGCATCAGTGAATGATGAGATATTTTCGTAAATAGAATCCTGCCAGAAGAATTTCATGAAAACTTATGTCTGTTCCATCTGTATCATCTCAGTGAACACATAAAGGTTTTACACATGGGCAGTACGGTGAATTTAATGTGGATGAGAGACTTTTGGAAAACGTTTGAAAACGCTAATGTGGACTGAGAACGTTGAGGCCATTGGCGCCCTCTACAGGCATTTGATATAATACATAAAAGGGTCTTTCGCGCCGCTTTAGTTCCAGAACTAAATGTACAGTACTAAAGTACTGGGACGATTTTGCACAAACTATTTCCCAGTACCATTTAAAGGGTTTCATTCGCACTGACAGTGTGTACTAGGAAGTGACGTAAGCCGGTCGACAGCGATGTCATTTGTGCGTGGTGTTCAACAACTGAAACAAAGAAGAACAACGTTAACAACAGGCGGATGGAGGACGTTTTGTTCCTTCGATAGATGGCGTTTTAAATCATGGCGGGTGAGGGCGTTTTCGTACGCATTATGTCACGGGTATTACCAGTTGTGCTGGTTAGACCCTGCTCCGGAGTAGGAGCTAATCTGGTTGGATTAGAGTATAGTTACAAGCCGAGGTCTCTATACATTACTGCCACGTTACATTGCTGACAGAATGCAGTGATTTATAAGTAACGTGATTACTTTTAAAAGGAGTAATCAGTAATTTGATTACATTTTCAGAGTAACTTGCCCAACACTGCAGGCGACCCAGGTCAGTGTAGAGATGCGCGGATGAGCTCAAACTTCACCCGAGTTCGCTGCTTCAAATAAATTATCCGCTCGCCACCCACCCGCACCTATATTTGATCGTCACAATTACAATGATTCTAATTCTTAGTTTTGCATGATGATATGATGAATGGATGGTTAATTTTTAACAGCAGATTCAGTGACGTTATAGCTGATCTGTGCATCACGTCACGCATCTGCGGCGCATTACGGCTCCACGGCCACCGGAGCTGATCGTGGCCACTCAGTCAATGCTGGTGTTTATACCGGGCGCGCTGCGGCCCAGAACTCATGCTTATCACATCGGTCACATCATATTTCCTAACTGGGTTTTCTACACCGGACGCGAGCGGCGCAACAAAATACAATAGAACCCATTATAATCAGTGATGTTTTCTACACTGGATGCGGCGTGACATGACAAATCCCTACAGTAAACTGATAACTCGTTCTATTTATGACGTACTGATACAAAGTTCAAATGATTTTCAATGGTCGCTTTGTCGCGTCTTGTAGCGGCGCAGACACGGTGTCAGCATAGTTTGTCAGTACAGTCAGTAACGTAGCAGATTGAAAAGTTAGTAAATTTCTGCAGTCCAATAGACGGCTGTGCGGTGGTGGCTTGAGTCTGTTGAATGGTGATTTAACGCTACGTTGTCACCTAGTTAGAGAGACTCAATGCTAAAGTAAATAAACAATGTCCCCGTCTTTTACTTTCACTATGAGCTTCCCATCGTTTGCTACATTAGTAGCGCGAGCGGCGCAACAAAATACAATAGAACCCATTATAATCAGTGATGTTTTCTACACTGGATGCGGCGTGACATGACAAATCCCTACAGTAAACTGATAACTCGTTCTATTTATGACGTACTGATACAAAGTTCAAATGATTTTCAATGGTCGCTTTGTCGCGTCTAAACATGGACGGAATCGTGGAATCCAGTCATAAAAACGGAATTTACTGTATAATGCAGAATTTCGTGGAATTTGTCATATTTTTCATGAATAAATAAAAAAACAGGTCAGTACACTTAAATCAAATTGCGATATAGACTAGTGTCTGTGAATATTAAACTGCAAAAAGACTATTTAAATACGAATCCTCTTGTTCTGCATGTTCATTCGATTACCAGAAAATACACAACACAGTATTTGTGAAAAAATATTATTCATTATTATTTATTCATTTTAGATGTTTACATTTGGAAAAGCTGTGTTTCCTGCATAAACCTGCCCGTTGGTTTGGCAGTAGCTTGCTTGCCCTACACAGATACCTTGTTTATTTTCTTAAACACAGATAGAACAAAATATATATAACTTGAATTGTTATTTATAATAAGTGAACTTTACTGTTAAGTGCATTGATGTCAGACTCATTTTGAATAATAAAGTTT